GTCAGAGTTTGAATACCTAACCACCCTGTTGGGATGTTACCACAATAACAACACGTTACGCAGTCAGCTGTACCATTTTCTTTCGAAGCAATAACAAGGCTAATTCAAATTTAAACGTATTCACAATTACAAATTTTTCGTTTTTGGCATTTTATAAGTTGCATTAAATCTGCATGGGCTAAAATTCGCGAAACACAGCATTCAAATTTTAACAATAAGTGATTTCAATAGTGACAGCTACCCTGTAGTCATCTATGCTAATATTTTGGTGTTCATTGACTGTGAAAACAATGAATTTCTAAATAAATAATTAATTCTAATGACTTGTAATTTGCATAGCACGACCAAATTGTCAGGCTGGCTACACGACTGATTATTTTTCTTGAAAAAGAATTATCGAATACGGTAATGGATTACTGGATGATTGTTAGTGTGAAACGATTTCAGTTTGACCTAACTCGCAAGCTTACCCTTTCACCAGTCAAACCGTCCCTACCGTTAACACCAGGCACTCCCTGAAAATTAAGAGAAAAAAATATGAAACATTTATTTCGCTATTTAGTCAAGTTTTTTAATTGAAAAACCAAACTCATTTGCTTTTTGCCCTAACAGAAAATTTATCCACTACTTTTGATGTAAAAAATGTAATTTAATAAAAACTAATAGTCTATAGCTATTAGATTTTTGGTGTAATAAATTCTTCTTCGTCACTCCTGAGCAAAACTGTCCGCCATTTTGTTTTTGCATAGAAGTTGTCTTATAGATGGCATGATAGCTGGCAACATAATCACTTTCGTTGAGATTCCGTGGAAAATCGCTTTTAAATAACAGCAATGCATGAGTCGAATGTATAAAAAGACCAAGAAGTATATGAAAAAAAGCTTGATTGGGAGGGGTATGTATATTAATTTTATGTATTCTTGTTTAAATAAGAGTAAAGAAAATCACTATTGAAATAATACTGGCATTAGGCAAAAATATGAATTGAAATTCACTTCAGGACGATTATACTCATGTATCATTTAATGCGCATGCGGTGTCGAGTTATTCCATAATTGAGCAAAAACCATTTATCAAAACAAACCGGTTCACCAGGATCTCCTTTCATTCCCTAAAAGAAATAGAAAAACTATATTTAAAAATTATGAAGGTATTAATTTGCAAGTAAAATTTAGCTTCAATCGCTAAAAATCTTACACTGAATCTGACGTTCGTTCATCTATCATAATTTGAAACTTTTTAAGTCAAGCTTAAACTTTGAACCAATCATTTTTAGCATGGTATTTTGCAAATGGAGCTTTTACAAACAGCTTTTTTATTAATTTTATTGAATGTTAATTATATATAAAAGTATAAGAAATTTTTCCAAATTTTAGAGAGAAATTTCGGTATATATACAGGGTGTCCCCTAAAAATGTATCCCCTATTGAAATGAAGGTTTTGTTCGAATTTGAATACATTATTAGGTTACGCACTTGTGCGTAAATAGTGCATGCACATTTCAGGTTTATAGGAGTTACATTCATGAGGTATTCAATTTAAGCTTTTACTTTTCCTCATCCTTTGTTTATATATAGCGGTTACGAAAAAATTGCAGCAAAAGCTCGATTGAGCAGATTTTTTAGCAGAGTTGTAGTAACTAATCAATAACAGCGGCCTATTTAGGAGCATAATAAAATAGGATAATTTATGGGAACAATAGCAGTATTTAGGAGGTAATAGCAGTTTTTAGTAGAATAATAGGAGAATTTAGAGAAACAATAGGAGTATTTACGAGGTAAAAGAGGTATTTAGGACTATAATAGGAGTATTTAGAATGACTATATATCCTACCTGCATACCATTGTATCCCGGTGTACCTCTTCTTCCAGGAGGTCCGCGGGAACCCTGAAATAAACGCATTGCTTGAATTTGAAATTATTGCATTGTGACTTATCGCAATTACTCGCGCCACAAAACAATACCTAATTAAATAAATAAGAAAGGTGGCTGGACAATCAATGACTTTGTAGCGTATTCATCAGTATTCTGCCAAACACCAGAAAAAGGCATTTTGAATAAAACTCCCTGAATTTTCATCAGTAAGACGGTTTTGATAACATTGAGATGCAGGAGCTGGATCGATGTACTAGCTGAACAAGTACCCGCTAGAATAATTATACTAGTGTGGGCGAGCTGGGGTAAAATCAAACGCCTTAATTAAAGATTCTCTAAGGCTGAGTGGCTTTCGCTGAATAAAAACCACGACACAACTTGCCTCGTTGGTAATTCTCGTTGGTAATTCACGTAATATGCCGGAGTCGCTCGACTAATCGGCGACCAGAAAGAGTCCAGAAGTCTCAACAATCACCTTTGCAGCTTGATATAGTTGCAAAATTTTACCTTCCCTCGACTGCTTACGTACCCGCGGTTAGGTAACGAGTATAAAATTCCTTTCGATTTCCTATTGTGAACCCTAATTTTTTTTTTAATTTTTCTTTCGCTTACCTTAAAGAATGCAATTCCAGCATAGCCTTTTGGGCCTGGCTCACCCTAAGTGAATATAATGAAGTCATACACATAAATTAATGAAAAGAAAACGCACCTCGTAACCTAAAGAATCGCCTTGAAAGATGACTAAGCTTATTTCACGTACCTTTGCTCCTGGCACACCAGGTTGGCCATCGTGTCCATACAATAGTTTAAGTGTCTGTTAGAATCAAGAATGTAGCTTAAAAACAACCTTTATATTCTTTAAAATCTCATATTGTAATTAAGACTAATCACATATTATCATGATTAAGATAATTTAATATTATATTATAAGAAATTCTTGTCAGACCGCTTTCCAGATGAGAACTTTTAAAACGTCTGTTTGTATTTGAGATATCTATGGTTTGTACATGCATAACATTTAATCCAACGACAGCATCAACCTCGTACCCAGGGTTTTTTTCCGTGCTCAGACTCTGGGGTCACACAGAACATTTTTGTCATTTATTGTTTCATATTACATTTGCGTCAAACTAGACTGTTTGGCCTTTGGGAGAAGCACTGAATTAAAGCAATTACGATCAACAATACTCTTAAAGCAATTACGATCAACAATACTCTTAAAGCAATTACGATCAACAATACTCTTAAAGCATTTACGATCAACAACAGTGTTTTGCACGGAGAAGCGATTAAAGCAATTACAATCAACAATACTGTTTTACATAGAGAAGGAATTAAAGCAATTACGATCAACAACACTGTTTTGGCGAAGCAATTAGAGCAATTATGCGACCAATATTACTGTTTTGGGGAAGCGATTTCGACCAACAACATTGCCTTTTGGGGAAGCGGCTTCGACCAGAGTTAGGTTGTACAGGCAATTGAATTTCATTTAAACGCGCTTAAAATGATAATTTCAACAATACAGTCAAGGTTCATGCACTGGTGTTCTTTTTGGTATAATTATAAATACGAAAGCCATTTTTGTACCATCCTGTACAGGCTCCTTAAATCATCGTTACGCTTATTTCAAAATTACGCTTGTTTCAAAATTTGAAAAAATTAATATGCGCAATGCATATGTAATGTAGTATGCAAAATTCAACTAAAATGTGAATGACTTTGTTAACACATAGAACTGGACAAATTTGAATCTGTTTTCAACCTATGACTACATAAACCAGACAAAATTGACCAGTGATATTGACATTAGCATGACAACTGACCAGAATTCGAAACTATGATCGAGGTAGAAATGAAAATGTTAACAATTGATTTGTTAGCATGCATATTTATATGGAATAAATTATTTAGCTCAGGGAAATTTATCAGGGTAAAAAGTAAAAGGTAAGATTTCTCACTCCAGTCCTTGAGCTCCCAATGCTCAATGCCAAAATAATATCCCCGATACCACTATAATATCAGCCGTTCGCTTATTTTTTAAAATGTTGAGAAAAAAATGCACAAAAACAGCAAATTGGAACTTCGTACGTAGGTTTAACACAATCAAAGAAGTGCAGATATAATTTATACTCACATCAGCTCTTTGTGCACAAATCGTTTTCTGGTCAGTCGTGTTGACACTGTTTCGTGACGCAGCAACGTCGTTGGTTATCGACATTAACAGAAGAAACAACACAATTTTATTCATAATTATCTCAGTCTAAAACACCACAGTATCGTCGAGATGCGCTAAAATTGCTAAGTGAGATGTTTAGGTTAAATATATTGTAGGTGCAAGAAGACCTTGGTGACCCAGTATCCGGTGATGACAGCGTGAACGCATTCAAAAATAAGAAAGAAATTAGGATAGGAAGTTTTTTGGTCCAATTATATTATAATCGTCTGGTAAACATGCCGTAATCGATCATGCATGGTGATTGATTAATGTTACTAATATGACCGCAGTCGTGGATTCATAGTTCAAGCGAGGATTGTTTTCTTCTCTTTTTATATATTCCTAAATACACTGATAATTAACTTTCTAAAATTTAGTTGACTAGAAATAGAATTTTATTTCTAATATTTTTATAACTATGAGCCTTATAAATAAAAACCTCTAAAGGTTTCTGCTAGGCCTTTAGCTCTTTAGGAATTCATATTGTAAATAGAGCTATAGGTGATGTATATATGGGCAATTAAATAAAAAAAAGGGTTCCTAAATATTTGATGGTTCATCGATTACTTATCTCGACAACTGCATTGAGCTCGCAATCCACGCTCTTTTGCATCAGGACGCGTATAGTGTACGATGTAAAGCAACATGCAGTGCAAGGAAAATTCAGTGCGCGATCGGTATACTTCTTGCGAAATTGTTTATATTTCTTCCTCGAGCCTCGACCCTCGTTAACGATTGAAAAAGTGCTATCCAGTTCTCAACGTCAAAATTTCTTCTGCTTTTTTATAGCCATTCAAGCTTGTGTTGATAACGCACCTAATAAGATTTACCCCCTAGCTGTTGAACTTTAATTGATATCATGTCAACACCCGAAAAAATTGCTTTTAAAAATCTTTCCTATCGGAACAAATCACTGCATGTACAAAACAAACTGAGCGCTTAAACGAGTTTATGCTGAATACATTGTATTAATGTTTTCATCCGCCATGAAGCTCGCAGTACAGTTTATTTTGTTCGTAATAGCATTTAAAGAACATGTATCAGAAAATATATCAAAAGACAGCGTGGTCTGTGTTAATGAGGATGAGGTTTGTATGAATAAAAAGCTATTGTATAGTACAACACAAGACGCAACTGAAACGGGTTTTGAAATGACGCGTACTTACTGCATGTGCTAGATTAAGTAGGTTTGCGAAATAACCGGGTTAAATTTAAATACAGCAGATACGTTTTGCAGGACATAAAATGGGTTATAATTCATTTCAATCTTAAATGTAGATTCTCATGACCCCCGATTCTAATCACAAAATGAAGTTTTGTATAAGACATTCAGAAGCCAGATTGTGCATTCGGATTAAAAATCGCATATTTTACATGTAACAGCTGCGACGGCATTCTCTCAAAAAAAACTTTGTCATTATATATTATTATTAATCCAGCAAAATGCTATTAATACGTGCAGTTAAACTTTGTTTTAATTATGAATGCAGATGTTAAACGCTTTAAAAGGAAGAGATGGTCCAACGGGTCCGCCTGGATTGAAGGTAGCTATGTTGACTAATTTATTACCAGAGTGTATCACCCGGATCGGAGGTGATATTATTACTGCGTCGCGCACTGCGCGAACGCAGTCTTGAATTGCTGTCGGTGTTTGTTTTTTTTTTTTTGTTTTTTACGTTTTCGACCCGGTCTACCTGGCCGCGCAGGCCAACTAAGATACTCGTATTTTGAACTCGTTTGATTTCGTATCGAAATATTTTCGTGCTAAACACACTTCAAATAGTAATCTAAGCCTAGTAACCCCCACAAAAGAAATATTTTACTGAAAGAAAAAATCGAAAAAGTTTGTTGTCGCCGGGATTCGAACTCGGGTCGTGCGAACTAAAAGCAGGAAACTGCATGCACGATACACGTCATATAAAATAACACGTACACGAGTCGCTGTGCATGGCCGATAGCGCAGGAAATCTAGACGTTTGTTGTTCCAGAAAATACGTACAGGTAATCATAATGCTGGATTCTTGACTTGTCTTGTTTAATATGCTCACCCTGCATACACCAGCACACACTGATCATGGTAAACCTACACTAAGACGGGTTTACAGACAACGATCACATGAATCAAGAAAGCCTTTTATGCCATGAAAGCCTTGTATGCTATGAAAGCCTTGTATGCCATTCTATGCCATTTTTCAATCAAACCGCACTTTCCTTTCAAGGGTAAAAACGGCCAGACCAATCCTATTGAATTTCAGTACAAACTGATTCCCAGAGTACATGATTCCAAACTCAGCCATATTCACGTATATCGTTAGCTACATATGCCTAGCACCAATAATGCAGTTTTACCCCTATATTCTGTACGAAGTGCTCTATTTACTAGAAAACCTAAGAAAGAAACATTTTTCTAAAGGAATAAATATTGACAGGAAATGGGGCACAGTTGCATGCAACGATTGGCGCGACGCAGTAACCGCCAGAATAGGCGTCTTGTCTAATTTTGCATCAGCGATGCCGGCGAACGAGTCCGATGACTTGTCGCACCATCTCGGAGGTATCCGAGCTACCGTTTACGTTCATGATCGAAATTTGCTTTTTCGATACAGTGGGTCATCGTCGCTTATATTGCTTTGAAGGAGGAAATGACCAGGGACGCCGGAACAGGGGGGGCAGCAGGGGCAACTGCCCCCTTGCCTTTTACTAGCAGGGGCAAGGGGGGCAAAAATGCCCTTTCATTTTAAAAGATTAATTACATTCTATATCCGAAGTAGACGTGCCACAAACGAGCATCAAGAATAACACAATTCTCTAGACACAGAAATTATCTTGGAAAGAGAAAGCAAGACGATATGAAGTTCAACTGACGATGTTTTGCAAACCTTCTATATTAATGCGCCCCTATACAGGAGTGCCCTTTCACCAAAATCTGCCCCCTTTGCACTCGCATCGTTCCGGCGTCCCTGAGGAAATTTGCATTTCAAATTTGTGTTACATTTTATAGGGTGACCGAGGTGAGCCTGGTGATCATGTTATCCCAATTCCAGTAAGTCGTTTTAAGAGTTTAGTGATTTTAGTCGATTGTAGGGCTGATTTCAAGGAACATTTTCTCAGGGACAGTGAAGAATATTAGTTTAGCAGATTGTACAAGCTGACAAAACAAGCAGTAAGGAACATAATATTATAGATCATAAATGTACTTTGTTTATTAGCATTAAGAGGAGCGTTTTATGCAACTTGGGCCCGGGGTGCGGTAAAGATCCGCGCGTGATTTAGGAACAGAGAGTTCAAACAAAAATGTCGTTTAATAAACTCGTATTTATTACCCAGCTCGCTTATTCAGCCTGTACAAAGAAAAATCAACCCAGGGGCAGGGATCGGATCTTTGTAGAAACCTCTTTTTGATATTTCTTTGTCGTTTGTATAGACCTCCTACTCGGTTAATAGTCGGGTAGCTAGTTGTTTATACATTATATATATATGGAAGGACGACTTTAAATATTTTTAGGGTGATGAAGGGTGGCCGGGTGTAGATGGCAAACCAGGGCGTAAAGGAAGAAAGGTAGGAAGTAATTTAACCAAAATGTCAAACCAAAATACAGTCGGGATAAAAATTTATCTTATGGAGTTTAAAAAATTAAATTATTTATATGAATCATAAATCCCAAGGGTATATTTATAATTCAAGGACGCGAAACTTATACTGGCAACAATGATAAATGCTGTACACAGGTTCATATTCATTTTTAACCTGATATTATGATAAACTTGATTTCAGGGAAACCGTGGAGAAACTGGAATGACTGTGAGTTATATGGCTTCAGTAGTTTGTATTTCCAGAAAATTTCCAGAAATGCTATTAAAATTGAGCGCTAGGCACCGCTTATAATTTTATAACGTTTTCAGTACTACGTATATAGACTCCGAATAAAATTTATCTTGCATTTATACTACACCAAAGATTATCGCATAGTTCGGAACAAATAATGCACTCTTAATGTATGCTCCCGAAGAAAATAGTGAGTTTTAGTTTTCCCAAGATTCGAGACTCGAGGGAAAACAAAACACACCATTCCCCGAGGTGGTATACATTAAGTGCTTTGTTATATTGGAACAAAAACATACATGTTACACAACAATTTAATTAAAAAAAAAACACTTTACTTTGCTATGACAATATGCGGACAACAATTTTTCACTTGTTTCCTAGCTGGAGGGAAACATTACATTTATTCAAGTCATGTGGCTATACGAATGAATCAATCACATTTAAATTACACAGCACCTGTATAAGACAATATAATTATTATGTTACTGAAGTAGTAGCTCGTGTTTCGATATATATCGCATTGCAGGGAGCTCCAGGCCTTGATGGCATCAGAAACCAAAAGCGAGGTATAAAGGTAATATGTTTTTAAAAGTTGACAATCAATAAACATTAATAATATAGGACTAGATAATTTCGTGTTTTACATCACCCGTTGAGTTTACTTGTCTCTTGCACGAAGTATCAATATTGTGAAAAGCGGAGCTAATCGTAACCTTTTATATGATGTTATTTATTTAAAATATAGAAAATAAAACACAAAATAGACATGTGTCTGCATTGTCCGTTTCCTTCTAAAGTTTACATTCACGTGCCAGTGCAACGTGCAACCCCCCCAAAATGCGTGCGGTCAACCACGTGACCAAACGTCACAATCAACGATAACTCAAATCATGATAATAATTAATTTCCACAAATATTTCAACTGCGTTCGTGAACAAATATGGTCATTTTACATCCGTGACATACTTATAGAGAGTAGCCAGCCCGTATTTCGATTAAACACACTCTGGATTAGATCTACTAATCAATATTCATTAATCAGAGTTAACCGAAAACAACTGAGCTGCTCTACAGGCTATAATTTGAATGCTATATATGCGCATTTATATTATCGTGGTGAAGTCCGCTAATTCAAACTATTGCATGATGGCATGTTCATTTTTTTCATTCCATTGCAGTGCACTGAAAGCCTTTTTAAGCTTAAAAATAATTTTGCGTGTTCTCCTGTGATGAAAGTTATAATAATATATTATACAGGGTGAGCCAGGAGTCGTCGGAGAAATGGGAGTGGAGGTAAACATCGTTGAAATTCAAATTTTCATTGTAGTTGTAATATTTTAGCGAAACTTTTGCCCTGAACAATTAAGGTATAGCCCAGACCCTTTCTGGGCCTAGGGTAATTACCCCGTCAGTAACCTCATCCTCTCGACACAACTTAAGTAAACTGCGATTACATCATCTGTCCATTACAAAAGATGCAATATCTGAGCTATACATAGATGGCTTAAAATCAATCCGCATTGTTTTTATATTGTTTTGTATAATTGTCTATTACATTGTCTAAATTACGGTGCGTGCACGTGTACTTAGTTCCGCAGTCGTTTTTCTTCTGAGGAAATTACAATATTAGTTACAATTAACCGGCTCTTCCTTATTTAGGGTGATCCTGGACATGTAGGAACCATCGGCTGGAAGGTAAAATCACAGAATAAACATAACAAAAGTCTCACTCTCTAAATTTGGCGTCCGAAATTTTTTGAGAATTGCGTAGAACGGAAGCTTGCGCTTCTGAAAAATTTCGATAACGAAAACATTATGGTAGGATGCAAAGAGTAAGATTTCTGGTATAATGTCTATTCTGTGATAAAATTTAGTTCAGAAAATTGCATTATGAGTATTAAAGAAATTTTGACGAGTTTTGAAAGTCGACACCAAAGAGGCACACACAAGTGCACGTTGGAGGAATGTAATACATTTCAATATTATACAGCGATGTGAATAGCAGGGTTTCATTGCTTACAGTAGCTATACAGTATTTCACAAAGTTTTTCCTATACTTGATCAGAATGTTTTTACTTAAATTTAAAAATTGCCCATTACGTTCTAGAATCCACATAGCCTGCATGCTCACAAATAGAACACTTAGCAATTTTTAGGCCCGTGATTATAGGTAAGATTTTCGATTCTCGCTAAATCACCTAAATGTGAACGTGCAATTAGTTACGCGAATGTTTTGATGTATAATAATCGTAACTAATTCGCTCGTTCACATCTATGAACAGAAGAAAATCGCATTGAATCGCATCAAAATTATGCATATGTTGTATAAAGGTAACATTATATGAATGTAATGCAAATTGTTAGGATATCGTATATATACAAGTATATATATACAATTCAGTATATATATTTTTACAGTATATATACAAGCGACATCATTAAACTTTCATCAGTCTGGCCTCATTTCTGTGCGTATTACCACCAAGCATAAGCATTCTGCATTTTCTTCAGTTCAATTACCGACTATTCATGTGATTTAGTTGATATTTATGTTTGCAATATTGCTTTTAATATTTGTAGGGTGAGCGTGGATCACCTGGAGAACGAGGCCCCAAGGTGAAATCTTTTGAAAGCGAAGTATTCATTCTAGCATGCAAAATTTGAAAGATCTTTCTTTGATGAGCTATCATATATTTAGCGCGTTTTATGAGCTATTATTTAGCGCGTATTATTTACTTTCTGAATGATCTATTATTTAGCGCGTATTATTTACTTTCTTAATGATCTATTAATTAGCGCGTATTATTTACTTTCTTTATGAGCTATTATTTAGTGCGTACTTTTTACTTTCTTTATGAGCTATTATTTAGCGCGTATTTTTTACTTTAAAATTTAGTAGAGAAGTAGAGATGTTGTTTAAATTTTACTTTTTTCTTTATTCACTCCCGAAATTCGAAATGCCAACCAGTATATAACATGTTCATCATCGACTTTCAAGATAAAGACTTGCGTAGACCTTATCACTATTGTTATATTTACATGCTGTCTTATGAATATCCTCGATATATAGCGCATATAACTATTTTTCGTCATCAATGAATTTAAACAAGCGATATAGGCAGAATCGGCAAAATTTTCACGATTGGCCTAAAATAAGACCATGCACGGAAAAATTGTCCTTTAAAACCAATATAAGATTGTACATGCTTCCAAAGTCATGTCTTTGAGTTGGCACATATAGATCATAGCTATAAGATGAATACAGTTTTAATATCTGACATTCTACATTCTTCCCACTCCGATTAATATAGATAAAAGAACAAGTCTTAAAGTCTTTATTGAATGACTACCATATTTTGGAAAACGCTTACTTTGACGATCTCTATCATGTAACATCACGTGACTTGACTGATGGCAGATCAGATACTGGTGGTTGGGGAAGCGAGACAGCGAAGACTGGGAACTATATAAGAGCAAAATATTTCTATCCTGTCTACGCCACCTCAGTTACGGTAGCCGGAGGATTTATACCGTCTTGGGGCCATGAAACCAGAGAAGATTATGGTTATATGGATTTGGAATATTTTTCGGATGAAAGAAAATGGGAAAAGGTAAATGAGTTGTTCTATAAGGGATATTGCAATCGATTGCTCAATACGTTAATGCACATTGATATTATATAGTGCGATATTATATATCAACCCCCATAATACAAAACATACTACAAAACATATATAAAACATATACAAAACATATACAAAACATACTCACATATACAAAACATACAAAACATATACAACAAAACATACTACAAAACATATACAAAACATATACAAAACATATACAAAACATATAAAAAACATATACAAAACATATACATGCAAAACATACTACAAAACATATAAAAAACATATACAAAACATATGCATATACAAAACATATAAAAAACATATACAAACCATATACAAAACATAATACAAAACATATACAAAACATATACATGCAAAACATATACAAAACATATAAAAAACATATACAAAACATATATAAAACATATACAAAACATATACAAAACGTATACAAAACATATACAAAACGTATACAAAACATATACAAAACATATACAAAACATATACAAAACATATACAAAACATATACAAAACATATACAAAACATATACAAAACATAAACAAAACATATACAAAACATATACAAAATGTATACAAAACGTATACAAAACATATAGCCTACATGTATCCTTTTTCTAGATTGCTAAAATTAAGACTCCATTTGGGAACAGAACGGTCACTCGCCATTTTTCTGCACCAGTCACAGCTAAGTACTGGCGCTTGATCTCGACAGAGAATAAGTGGATCGGAACAACAGAGTTTGTCTTGAAACCTCTAGTAAAACCATCTGGGGTTTAAACTTTCAAAGTGGCTGGACTTTTTCTCTATATAGATATATGCTTTAAATATTGAATTAAATATGAATTAAATTTGTGTATTTAGTAACTATATATCTAGTTAACATATGCATACTATATGCATTGTTCTGATTAATCGTCAAATAATTATAATGTCTGTTATTATGCATTTTTTGTGTATTGTCGTTCTTGATTGGTCAGAAAGCACAGGTTTTCTCAATATTCTGTTTTATATTGTATATATAAGTAATTTCAGCTGCTGACGTGCTGAGCGTCCAAAAATTGTTTTTTGGATCGAACTCGCATCTTCATTTAGACCTTGGCGCGCCAGCAACTTGAACCCAAAGGAACGCGAAAATAAAATAAACATTAATAGAATAAAATAAATGTGTAATAAAACAATTATTGGATTCGGTTTTTGCATGATATCGAGAATTATTCAGACCTCGGTCAATCTTATTCGCCTCAGCTTCACGTTGACAAATAACATTGACCTTGGTCTGAGTAATTCTTGATCTAATAAACATGATTATTTTTTAAAGTACTAGAAATGAGTATCAAGTGACTAATTGAATATTGTCGCCGTAAAGACGACTACGTCTCCATTATGTCTGTGCGCTTTGTTTTTCAGTACCGTCAAGGTCGCATGAGCAGATTTTCATTTCAAAGGAATTTTCAAAGGGTAGCTTCACTCGCGCGCAGGTGAAACTTATGTAATGGGGGAACCAGCATTAACGGTTAAAGCCTAAAGGGTCATAATTTCAAGTGGAAATCATATGCATTTCAAATTCAAGCCAGGAACAGTTAAGAAAATTGTGTCAACTATTGGTCCTTCGGTAGGAATCGAAACTAGGCCTTCGCTACGCAGCTGCAATGTCCTCAACACTCAGCTTACTCAGCTACAAAGGTATAATTGACAAAAGCAACAGTGGAGAGAAACAAATTAATAATGATGGCTTTAGAACGCGTCAAATTTCAGATTCTCATGCTTTTTCCCAACGTCTTCATTTCAAGACGCAACGAAAGCTTCTTAGGCTATGTGCACACGAGCGTCGTTTTCAAGCGTTTTCAAAATCGTTTTTGTCTTTTTTATTGTTTAGACGCCTTGTCCACACGACCCAAGGAAAATATGCCAAATATGTTAAATTAGCTTTAACTTCTATTGTGAATTGACGGTGTTTTGAGACCGTTCGGACATGAAAACGAATTTGAAAACGCTTGCAAACGTTACCGTGTGCACATAACATAAGCCTCTTTAAAGCTGCTCCCAAACAGAGACTCGGCAGTTTTTAACAGTTATACCACATTAAATTCCCTCGAGTAACAAAAAATTATAGAAAACTCTTTATGCAATCATTCAGCCCGTTGACTTAAACAGTGGATAAGCCAAAATAATCTCTCTTTTATTGAATTAGTGAGCTTGAGTGTTATATGAACTGAATATGTATAGCCTATAGTTGTCATATAAACAGTATCTTTGCATTAAGGGCTCAAGGTTAAAAACATGTTGTTCGATTGTTGAATATAACAATAGATTCGCATTCTATTCAGTTGAACTTATAACCACCGTCAGTATACAAACGCCCCCTGTGTATATGCAGAATTGACGATTGGGTTACACGTACATTAGGATGCATGCCTTGTAATTTAGCAAAAAAAAGGGAAGAAATTTTCCTTCAAGTGGCCCAAACCGCAGTAAAAAATGTAATTAAATAGGTACTAAAAAACATCCTGTTTTTTTGGTATCCTGCATATGGTTTGTTGACGCCAATAATGATAAATTCGAGTTACCAATATTAGGTTGCATACACTGATAGATTTGTGTTTATCTTAATTAATTTTTATTACTGTCAAAAGTATAAATTTACATTGTGGTTTTTCATACGCATGCACGTACACGCGCACGTAAAATTCTAAATCCTTATAATACGTCAAATTTGAAAAATCTAGGTTTCGAAATCGAAACAACTTAGTTTTCCGCATATTTTAGTATGGATTTTTTGACCTATGCGTTAAATAACACCATGTTGTTAAATAATAACATTTGGAAGCATTTAAATACTTCCGCACGTAAAAAGACGCGAGAGTGGAAAGCTGTTTGCAACTGAAGTGAAGTGAAGCGAAGTGGAAAACAGCCCTTGGCTAAATAGCCTAAAATATACACACGATCTTCTTAATCATTTTGCATTTCATTGACATTAAGGTAGAATACTAGAACTTTAGAAGATATAGATGGAATAAAATGATAATGCTTTTTAACAACAAATTGTTTGCTATATACATCACACCCTCCATCTTCCTTGCTCACGAAGGTCTTGTTGCTTGATCATTATACTTTATACTTCGATGAAACATCTTTGTGCTTAAAGAACATTATTACTCTCAATACTTCTCAATATTTTAGTCTATATTTTATTTATCAATGTCATTATTATTTTAGCTTAGAGCGAAAGTACAGTTGAAGAGGCGTTCCGTAAGCTGAGCTAAGATAAGAGAATTAACGAATCGGAAGTAAAAATGGGAACACAGTGAAATGTGCTTCAAACTAATTATAGCAAATTGATATAACATGATCGAGTAAAAGAATTAGTTTCTCGAAGACAAACATGCTTGTGAAATAGGAAGATATACACTCACTCGCCCTCGATTGATTTCTCAGCCCACTCAGTTTTAACTTCTAATTTAATACTATATTAAACTATAACTCTCGACGCTGGTTCCTTTTTCTCGATACTCTTTCCTCCATCCTCTTTCCTCGACCAATTAAATTTAAGCAGATAAAAAACAGGAAGAGGTAGCAAAATTTTTTGAGATATTTGAGATATGAGAAATCGGACGAATTTGAGCACGCGGTACAAAATTCGTTCGGTAGGTCCTAAACTGGGTTTCAGTCCTCAACCTAGCTATCAACCTATGGCTCGATTAACTGCATGAGCATGCAAATAAAACAAGAGAAGGCCACGCTGCCGAATGCTGAAATATCTCGGGAATTAACAACGAGGTGAAATTCCCGTTGACCCTACACTGTCTGAAATTAATTGCTTGATTATTATTTTAATCATCACGAGCGTCGATGTTGATCTGCAGAAGCTGTACGTCAACAGGGTCATTGACATTTCCATATCGCAGACTACAATAATTTGCAAATTTCTTCCCATGCATATATACTTGTAATTTAAACTGAGTCATTGAACATTTAGCCGAAACAAGCAACAAAATCAATCAGTGTAGAGTTAAAATAATTTCACTCGCAAGATGATTGTATTTCTTATCTTTCTCTCAAGCGTCTTTACATCAGACGGGCAAGCAGTGAGAAAATTGGAAGGAGTCAACAAGTCGGTTGTCTGCATAAAGGGCAGCAAGGTATGCTTAATACATGCAAACATATAGAGAGAGCGGCAGTATCATATAGTTCCCTGTGAGTTGCCTTTTAACAGCGAAGAGGATAAACGTTAAAAAACTAGGACAAAATTTATTTTAAAGTACTTATCTTTAAGTTATCTTATAATTATAATGTATTGACAAAATGTCCGAAAATAACAAATTGGAATTATTCAAGCCCAGTGGAGGCTCCAGGTTTAGGCACAATGACTACACGGCCTATTTTTAAATTCAAAATACCCTAATCAGGGGCGTAACTAGAACGATAATTGGGAGGGGGGTGAATTGTCATATGTTCAGTTCTGCCCGACGGATTTCTATTGTAAGCTATTCCAATTACAAAAGAAATCCGTAGGGCAGAACATTATATATGAATATTAACCCCCCCCCCTCAATTATCGTTCTAGTTACACCACTGACCCTAATAGCAACGCTATTGGTTTTGAACTTTTGAACTTTTAAAAAGTGCTTTAAAAAAAACCCAACCAATGTCATACCAAGTTAAAGCTGTAGTAATTACCTCGGGTTGATGTATACAAAACAACACTAGCATTCCGGTATATAACCCTTACCCCTGCTGTACCAAAAAATTTTATTGGTGGTGGGGGGGGGAGAGGTGGATTATTCATATAATCATCTCATGTTTGGCTGATTTTATTTATTCTAGTGGTTGATTTCACACTAGAACATGCATATATGAATATCCAGTAACGTAGCCATGCACCTTTTGTTTTTCATGTCTTTCATGTCAGCCCTATATTCTTGACGTGTATCTCGATTTCAGCAATTTTTGTTTGTCAGGATGATTTTTTGAGAACACGTACCATAGTACAGCGGTTTTATCCAATGCGAATGCATATAATTAAATACTGCTTTATATTCATGTGCGATCTCAAGTCGGGAGAGAATTCTCATCGGCAAGATTTTTCGACACGCAATATTTCCATTGCTATCCTAAAGATGACTGCATGCGAGGAGATAAAGGCACTACGTGTATTCACCCGAAGCATAGCACTTACAATTTGCAATTCTAGTTGAAAATTTATTTATTGAAATTTTTTGGAACCAGGGGCGCCGGAACCACAGGGGGCAGTGGGGGCAGCTGCCCTCACTGCCCTTTGCTAACGGGGGCGAGCGGGGGCAGCCTGTGCCCTTTGCTACCATATAAAAGTATCATAAATTCAACATTTAATCATCATGCCTACTTTTCGCATAAAAACTAACCGGTAATATTATTGAAAATGTGTTCTCCCGTGGATTTGCAAGTTCGCATGTACTCCTAAATTTGAGTTTTCTCTTCGTGTGGTCGCTAAGGTAAAATGAATGTGCCCTTTTCTAAAACTCTGCCCCGTCGCCCTAAACTGCTTCTGGCGTCCCTGTTTGCAGCGACAAACGATAGATAACACACCTCTATCTTCAGGTCAAAAATTCCACCCTACATTTCAGAAGGAGAAATATTTAAACCCCATCAACCTTTTTTCTCTAGGCTTTTGGACTTACCATAGTACAGGGAGAACACGGGAATCCTGGCTCGCCTGGACCGCAGGTTATTATTATTTGAGAATCTACTTTTTGTTGTTTGCATCGTTAGGCTTTTGAATCATGTTTTATCCAGGAAACCCTGGGGCAATGGAACACAGTGCCCTCATTTTCAGTCTCGAATAATTGTATATAATTATCATTTATAATCATTATCTTTAAATGATAGATTAGACATGTATAATTATATCAATTATGTTAATTTCACTCCACCTTAAATTTAAT